CTCCCCCAACATCAGCAGCAGCAGCGGCGGCAGCAGCAGCAGCATCACTGGAGAAATATTCCTCATCCACTTATGAAGACCTGGATAGAGCATGATGATGATGATGATGAAGATGATGGTAGTGGTGGTGGTGGTGGTGGTGGTGGTGATGATGGAGCCCCTATGACAGGCAGATCCTGCAGGGCTCTGGATCCGAGCCCGACACCCGCATCCACGGACGGATCAATCACACGCAGACACTCCGGGTGAGAAATACACTCAAGTCTACCTGACTGTGGAGCGAAGACACGTGAAACACATGAAACCCAGCATCTGGGAATCTTTGCCGGCGGATCATCCGGAGCAGTTTGTGAGGACTTTTACTTTTGCATCAAAGTGATTTGGAGCACTGACAAACTCTGCTTTGCTCTGTTTCCGTCCCGTAGTTCGAAGAAATAAGTCCGCCAGAGAACAGCACAGTCCCCAGCTGAGTCTGCGGCGCTGAGTGTGTGGATTGAGAGCAGCTGTGCGTGTTTGTAATAAACTGACCATAAAGACGGCGAACACAACGACGCAAACGACTTCCGGTAAAACCTGTTACAATAAAGCTCCTAACTCGTCACTCGATAGGATGTCATTTTCTTTTAACCAATGCCATTTTTGAAAGTCTATTTTGAAACTTTTATGATTATTTTGACTTTTATTTAATCCATTGACAAACAATTAAAAAATTACGAACAAGGTTTCCCACACACTTTTCCATCAGAGAAATCTCTCTATGATAAATTCTGGACGGTGTCTTTGAATCAAGTTCACAACCTATCCTTGCTCTGTCTAAGAAATGTAGTAATCCTGAATGTGGTCTTCCATTTTTGGGAAAATAATAATAAAAAAAAAAATCAGATGGCACTAGATGAAACCTGTTGCAAACCTTTGATAATTTAATTAAACACATTTCAGTTTATGTTGAAAATGTGAAATCTGATCTGATTCTGTGTTAAACTGATTATGTGATAAATATCAATTTGAGTGTGGATTATTTCAAAATAATTTATTATTATAATAGTAACTATAAATACCTGTAGTAGCATGTTTACTTTTTTCCATATGTTTTTTAATGCAATTTTTGCTGAGCTTAGACTGGACTAAATAAAAATCTTAAATTAATTAATTTACACAGGAAATGTTCTCATTGATAAGATATTAATTATATGGGAAAACACACTTGTATAACCAGACCCCAACCAAGTGCCTGTTCATTAGATAACATTTCCCTGTTGGCTCATAAATTACACAGTAATTTGCTATACCCGCTAAATTCTTTATTGCGTGCTCTTATTTTGAAATCAGACTCTTCAAACTTCCATTTCGCTGTTGGGTGTTTTCCAATGAATTTATCCCGCTGCCTGTGAGAGCATTTAAAATGTGTTTAGTTTCGAGAGAGTAAAAATGAAATTTTGATTTATGCAAATAATGAAAAAGGTCGATGTTGTTTATATGATCTAAATCACATGTGTCAAACTCAGGCTCAGGGGCCAAATCTGGCCCGCAGTGTAATTATATTTGGCCCACGTGATCATATCAAATGTGTACTAGAGTTGACCTGCCAGTATATAGCACCTATATACTTAACAGCCCATGTCTTACGTCTACATAACTACCCATACTCTGGGTATACATCTGCTATTTTTTTCTACCTTTCTCTCCTTGTTTATTTTTGTGAATTCTGACGTGAGTCAACTCCACGTCCAAAGTCACTCAATCAGCCTGGAGTCCTCAATTAAAATAAATGAAGTCAGGGGAATCTGTTGCCTTAATTGAAAAATCTAAAAGTGGAAACCAGCAATTAGGTTTTTATTCTCACTTCTAGACACAAATTGTCTCTTGATTGGAGACAAAAATCCCTCAACCGCATCAGCCGAGTTCAAGACCCCGATATGGAAATGATCCATCCTTGTGAAAAAGTGCTCCGTCAGGTTGTGAGTCCTGATTAGTTCAAGCAGCTACTGACCTGAGGACAACTCTGCACGGCTGCGCTCACACCTCCCTGTGGAGGCCGAGCGTAAAAGAGCATCAGAATTTTAAAGAGTCAAATATTATTGTTGCTGCAGCTGAGAATCACAGCACGCTGTCTCCAGGACGCCGAGGTGAAATATGTGCTGTAAATCCCAAATGACGGAGCAGATCCACACTAACTCAGTGACCACCTACACCCAGCATCTTCACCAGGCCGTGTCCGCTTTGAGGGACGGCCTCCTTAACCTCGCTGCACTGTCATTAATGATTCACAGCCCACAGTTATTATACCACAGACTCCTGACTGGACTGCAGAGAGTACACGTGGTCTTCAAACGCCCACATTCACAGCTTATTCAGCAGGTGATTTACAGCTGCTGCTCTTACATTTGCATTTCAAATAGCATTCTGGGAAATATTTAATTGGTGTACTATCTTATATCAGTCACAGGTTAAGCGTTTTTTTTTTTAAGGATGTCAAAACCTTTTGTACAGTTTTCACAGAAAATACTTGTGGGCAAACATCGACATGCTAACGCATTAGCTTTTAGCTAATAAACATAGGGAATGTAGTGTCCGTAGTCGGTACTGTATCACATCACAGCTGCAGGTTAAATAGTAAGACTCACACAAACCCAGTCTGAGTGCCATGATTGGTCCTCTGACCAGACTTTTGTTCTACCAAGGCAGAGATTCCAGCTTACGGCCTGCGGGCGGCCCATGAACACCCAGCCTGTAGCAAATGTATATATCAATACAGGTGACAATTTGCTACCATTGGACCTTTTGTCATTATTGGACATCTGACTCTAATGATGTTGGCAGTGGTGACCCTCAGCTTATTAAAAGTCTGAGACCCCTGTGCTAAGACCACCTCTGATTCAGGACACTGTACAGGAAGTCAGTGGACACTCAAATAAAATGAAATAAAAATCACATTGTCTGTCTTACATTACAATTTCATTTTCATTTTGGAATCCGATCATGGGCCGGGTTGGATGTTACGGTGGCCCGGTAGGGCCCGCGTGCCGCCAGTTGATATTTAGCACTGTAAGTCAAGGCACTCAACTGTGATTTTTTTTAAACACAGAGATTTTCCTTTTTTATTCAAACAAAGCACCAGTTTATCTGCACTGCAAAGATTCTGTGGCGCTCATCACAATTTCAAAACCCTGAGGAAAGCAGAAAATTTATCAGACTGCAGAGACAATCTGCAAGAAAACACACGCGCACCAGGAACATTAAACACTCTGCACAGGGTTTTTTCCTGCAATTTCCATGTTAATACTGCACAAAATTCACCTGACATGCAGGAAAAGTTCAACCTTGTTCAGCATGTCCATGCACAAAATGGAAACATATTTCCCCAGCGTGTCCCATTATTTATTCGGATCCATTACAGCAGTCATTCATCACTGGTCCGGAGGAGAACGACATGAAAAATGTGATTTTTCACTTCTTCTTTTTTTTTTTCTCTGTCATTCTTTTGTTTTTGTTCAGTACCGTTACGTTTTGTTGTCTCGGAGCTGCAGGCGTCAAACTTCTCAACTTTTGCTGTTTCCCTTCAGAGCTGTACTCAGCAGGTGAGAAGTTGGTCTCACGCTCACCACATCAACATATTGGAAGTGGCTGCAGGCAAAGGCTGTCATGTCGAAGGGATAGTTTTCAGATTCTTTGGTGTCTGTCTCAGATAGTTGCGTGTCTTTTAGTCAAAAGGTTTTAAGACGTTCAATTTTGAAAGGGCGTTGAGTTTGTGTTTTTGTTCCATCATGTTTTTCAACCTTTGACGGACAACACATTTTTAACCAAACTTGAAATGAAAGATGTTAAAATTATTAAAGTGCCCCAACAGGTTT